AATCCCCTTTTTGTGAATTAGTGTCTGCTGTCACCCTATCTGCAGCCGTGACCCCTCTCTCTCTCTCTCGCTTTCTGGGAAACCTCACCAGGAAAAGAGCAAAATCCAGCTAACATATAATACATAAAAACATACATATTAAAAGGCATATAATACACAATATTACCGTGCAACGCTCTAAGTTACTTCAACCCAGTAGCACTCCAATATCATATCCTGGCTTCATCAACTCTCCTTGTCAAGTGGCTGCACAACTCTTGGCTCACAAGCTACTACCCCCACACTGCTTGGGGTTGAAATACCTGTCACAACAATAATGTATATTCAACCATAAAAGTATATGAAACTGCTTTAGGCTGAAATACCTGGAATCTCTACACAAGTATCCCCCAACAAAAGGAATCAATCTCTCACCTTACACTGCGTCTTGCATGCCAAAAAGCATTCAAGCACTCCTCTTAGACAATAATGTGTCCACAAAGATTCTCTGTTCTGATCCTAGAGGCTCACTATCAATTCATATCTCTAGGTCCTCCAAAATATCAGGAAAGGTACCTCTGAAGTTCTCCCAATCTGCTGCACAACGAAGTCCTACTCCATCATCAGTTGTGTTCCTTCACTGGTTCCACAAAGAAATATGTAGCTCCTTTACACTGCTTGAAGTTCAACTCCTCACTATGGAGTTCTGCTCTACCTCAGAGTTCACCATACACTTCTTCTTCTCTAGCCTCGAAGTTCCTCCATTAACTTCTTCCCAACAAACCGCAGGAATCTATGACGTGGATGCTCAAGCCCTGGCGCTCAACATGGCGCTCACACAGGCCGCCCACAAAAATCGCTTTAGGACTGCTTCACAAGGCTTTCTCCAGTCCTGACTTGAGTACACAGAGTAGCTCGGCAGGCTCCACACAAAAATGCCTGCTCATTCCCTTTCTCTTGAAGGAGCACACAGAGTTCCACTAGGGCGCGACCAAACAATCGCTTCCAGACCGCCTCTAATATATCCAAATCACAGAGAAATATTGTACTATGTCTCCAACAGCGTCCTCACACTTGCAAACAAGTAGCCTTCAATGCACCGCTAACACAGGGAACTATATTCTTCCTTCTTCCATCAACAAAGTACCACCATCTCTGACGACTGCTGTGACTCAAGTAATGTCACGACGTGCTGCTAGCGTCACGTCACATCACCAAAGTATCGACATCCCATCCCCATATCAATTTTATTAGACACTCATCCCCTGCTCGTATTCTTAGATTATTCACTGACGTTTATTGTATAATTTCTTTCTCTGACCTCTTATTCTCAGGTCCGGAAAGCAGAACAACTCTCACTGGATAGACTCATACCACCAGGCTACATGGGGTCATAACTATGACAATTAATAATAATAATAATAATAATAATAATAAGAAGAAGAAGAAGAAGAAGAATACACAGAAAATCACACTAACATGATATACATCAATGAGAAAATCCACTGGGGTTGTTAAACAAGGGACTATTAAAGAGGGCTTCCACTGGAGCTGTTAAACATGGGGCTATTAAAGAGTGCTTTCACTGGGGTTGTTAAACAAGGGGCTATTAAAGAGGGCTTTCACTGGAGCTGTTAAACAAGGGACTATTAAAGAGGGCTTTCACTGGGGTTGTTAAACAAGGGACTATTAAAGAGGGCTTTCACTGGAGCTGTTAAACAAGGGACTATTAAAGAGGGCTTTCACTGGGGTTGTTAAACAAGGGGCTATTAAAGAGGGCTTTCACTGGAGCTGTTAAACAAGGGACTATTAAAGAGGGCTTTCACTGGGGTTGTTAAACAAGGGACTATTAAAGAGGGCTTTCACTGGAGCTGTTAAACAAGGGACTATTAAAGAGGGCTTCCACTGGGGCCGTTAAACCTCGACACACCAAAGTTTTTACTCTGCCGACACCCCCCCCCCCCTCGACTGGTCGCAGTGTCCAAGGAATATTTTTTAATGGAAACTTGCCATAATCGGGTGGTCTCCGACTGATTTACCTCTGGACTCTGGACCAAGCTAATATCGGATAATCTTCTGGCCAAGCTGAGTGGACTCCATACGTAACTTTGAACCATCATCATTGTTCCATTGTTCCTTTTCTACTTAAAGGGGCCCGCTATTAATAGAAATAGAAAAGAAGCAGAATGATTCTCTCATTAATGCTGTGCCGTCTCCTTGTCTTTAGTAGCAATTGCCTTTCTATCCTTTAGATCTTTGTTGCTGGCATATGACTTGTCCTCGGGGAACCCTCTGCTTCAAAAGAGGACCCATAATTTCTCGAGGGCTCCTTGTAACTCCTGTTCCTTACTCATTATTCGTTTTAAGCTTATACCCAATGAGTACGGGAGTGATCTTTTCAGCGAGAGTGGAGGACTGGATGAATGGAGCAGGTATGAGTGCAAGTTTGTGGGTTTATTGTAGGCTGTAGCCTGAAAAGTTCTCTCCCGTTCATCTATGAATACTCTCGTGGTTAAGAATG